TTCTGTGGTTAAGATTAGGGTTACATTTAGTGTTAGACTTAAAAAGAAATCTTAATACATATAGATATATGCAAATAGGGGCATATTAGTGGGACATATTAGTATTACATAGAGGTATATGTGCAAAGTTTTAGACACCTGAGAAAATTACAATTAAGCTGCTGTTCATTTAGGCAAAAATTATGAATATTAAAAATAACTAACAACTAATATTAATACAATAAGTAAATGCTGTGTCAAATGTGTGTCAGTGTGTGTGTTTAACCATTTCCAGACCTCTCTTCATGGAAGCCCAGTATTTGTAGTTACCCTCTACTACCTGGGTTGACTAACTAGTACTTCATCATGTCAACTCAAGTGTGCTGCTGATGGAATTTAACAAATCTATGTGGTGGCTGGGGGAGCTTTTTACAGTATTTATGTTCAACACAAACAAAGATTAATGGCTCTAAGCAATGTGCTTTAGTGCTTAAGAGTTTTGCACAGTACTGTATATAATACATATAGGATATGTTAGGTAGTACATATGGGTACTTACATATTTGTAACACATATGAGACACACAGTTGAGACAGGGTGAGGAGTATAAGAATAAATTATGTCCCAGTATACATTTCTGAGCGTGTCCTGGATATTGTCAGTACTTAAAGAACGCTGTGCAACCACATGTTCCATTACACAAAGAGCCTAATTAATCCTGTTTAATTGACTTAGTGCTGTACAGTGTGTGAAACATGAATAAAAGTCACTGTGCTCAGAGCTTCTCATAGTATTTTTAAATGTGGCAGTACTGGTTATTATGAAACTTCATAGTAACACTTATGTTCTCATAAAAGACATTATATTTTCGTCATACCGCCCACCACAATTACGTATACAAATGGGACCTATCATTACATAGATGTACATACATATATACAAAATACATGTTGGACAAATGTATGATCCCACATTTTGACACTGTATAAAACCAAGTGTGTCTGTGCACATGTGCATTTTTATAAAGCACTTTCTGCATTGAGAACATTCAGAGTGCAGAACGTTTGCTTCATTTCATTTCACCGCGTGAACCCTTTTTTTCAATGTATAATTGATCTGATAATTATTGTTTCAGCACAGATGCAGAAAGAGTGCCATAAATCTTAAGTGATGCATACAAGACTCCCTTTTAGTAGCTGCACTGCTGTAAATGGTCTCCAACCAGGTGACTACTGTTACCTCCAAAGGTTCTGACAGCAGGAAAGTGCACAGGCAGGCCACGTTCTGGAGGATTTTTTTTCTTCCCTCTTTTCCCTTTTTGAGTGTTCCCTCTCTCTTCGCTCACTATGTGTTTCTCACTTTTCCCTCTCAAATGGCTAAATGTGCCTCCCCCCTCCCCTTCTGCCTCCTTCTCCTGTGTGAGACTGAAAGGTAGGGGTGTGGGTGAGTGTGTGCACCTGCGGAAGCTGAGGTTGGAAACGGTTGGACGTGTGCTTTAAGCCAGCTCCTTTTTTGACTGGTCCGTGCTGCTCACCCCACTGGGCTGAGGTACAGCCTCTTGGCCGGTGTGTCTTAGACCCGCCCCGGGGTGTGTGTCCTGTCTGACTCGCCTCACACTTACACACCGTCAGCCCAAAAAACTCCAGCGCTGCTTTTAATTAATCAAGTCCTCAAAGAAAACCATTCATACTTCTTTTTTTTCCTCTTACTGTAAGCAGGGCGATTTTCTTTCAAGCACCGTGTATGAAGAATGACTTATGAAGTCTCCTACACTTAGCCTGATGTGTAAAGGGAAGGTGTTTTTTAATTTATTTTTTTGATGAATATATATTTATTTATCTTTCTATTTATTTATTTAAATCCAGGCCACCACTGCCACTCCATTCTTTTCACCTTTTTTCCCCCTCTATTTTCCACAAAATTCACTTCACAATTTAATGGCGTTTTTTATCTTAAATGTATAATTTTTAAAAAATTCACCTGTTTGATTGTCATATAACTAATTTTCTATTTTTCTCCTCTATGTGGGTATGAGCCGGTTCTGTCTGCTTTATAGGCTGGCTCTAAGAAATGGGAAGTTATTGAGTATGCAGGCAGAGATGAATCATCTCCTGGCTTCACTGAGCATTGCGTGTCCCTGTCTGGTTTTATTTTAGTGACCCTCAGTGCTCAGGATATTCTGTTCGGGCCGGACGAGTCCTGACATTCCACTCAGCTCTCCCTGGGCCAGAGGAGCCCAGAGGCTTCCAGATTAATCCTGAACATGGAGATATCTTTAAACACACTCAGCCTTTCTCAAATAACCTGTGTTAACACATAACACAACAACCCCACTCGCTTGTATGTAGAGACCCTCATGGAGACCTTCCACATATATAATACTAGTAAATCTAGTATTAAAACTACTTTATAATAGTATTAACTAAACACCATGCATTTTTGTTCAATAGGTCAAGTTTTTGGGGACAACAAGAAGTTAATAAATGAAAATTGTTGCACTTCGGTTATCTATTTAATCATTTCTTGTCAGATTTTCTCCTTCGATGAGTTTTATTTTTTACTTTATTCTCAGTGTTACGTAACTTCCTCAATTACAGAATCGTCTGTGGGTCTGTTTTTCATTTTAGACACCTCTAAAATGAAAGAAGGCTTCCTTTTGGCTTTTTGCAAATTATTTGAAACTAGGGATGGTTTGATACCACTTTTTCTCTTCAGGTCCCTATACTTATATTAAGTATTGATCAAAATGAATCCCAATTTTCTTCTTTGAAAACTGGAAAAAAACTTTAACATGATCTGTTTTTAAATGAAGCACTTCAGGTACGATTAGCATCTAAAAGTAGACCATCGTGCTCAGACTACTCAAACACTCTGCTACCCCACAGGAAGACATAAACAGCTCGATTTGTTTCAGGATTGGAACAGATTCATACATTGATTCTAAACTTTTGAGTGGCAGTTCTAAACTTTTGAATGATCTTTTCTCTCAAGTTATTTTTGGTTTTCATATTGTGATCTACACATGTTCCAGACCAGTCCATAGTATTTGATGTTTCCACAAAGTTCTTGAGTGAAAATGGCTGGAGTGTGTCTTTGGTTTCACTTAAAAGCCTACTACAGCAACTCTCCGCTCATAAAGAAACCCGTCCATTGAGGATGTGGGGGTGCGGTGCTGTGTGCTGTGTGTGTCAGGCACTCTGTCACAGGCTTTAGTCTGGGTCAGGAGAAGTTTAGTTTGGCTTGGCGCTGGGACCGGGCCGAACACTGCACCCTCTGTAAATTCGGTTGGAGTTAAAGCTTTCTTTTTTTTTTTTTCTCCCCTCCCTCAAAGCCAGTAACTCTTCCTTGCCAGCTGCACCTGGCCGGGCATTTGCCGGATTGCCAAAGCCACTACACACACACCTCAACCTAGTCTCACACACATTGCATATACACACACAGGCACACTCTTAACCGCAAGCACCATAAGCCAACAGCTTTTTATCTTTAAAGAAACCCCAGTCAGAGAGCTACACCCCTGTAGAATATACACCACCTCTGGCCCAGGATAATTACACTGGAATTGCTCTCCATCAGGCAATATATCGCGGCTTTGCATGTCGTTAGCCCTGTTCTGTGGCTGCCTCATTTAGCCGCACGCTGAATTGATTGCCCTGGGCTTGGAGGGTTTAGAAGCTTAATGTCGGTGGAGGAGGTGATAGAAGAATGCGCCCGGAGAACACACAGAGAGGGGACAGTAACGGCATCTCACACACACACTAACGGTTCCGTACGCACAAGCCACGTTTCATGGATTGATTGGACCATGATGAATGGCCATGTTGAACATCGACTCACTTTGGTCCTCCTCCATTCATGGCCGGGAAAGCGGCAGCGTCAACATTAGCTTTCCGCACACTGTTGCATCAGCTGTTAAAATGTGTTTGGGCAAAAACAGACGACACTATGCTAGTCACGTACTCATTCAGACCCCTTTGTTTACTGCAAATTAAACACATACATGACAGACAACATAAATACAGTGCGGATGTTGGTGTGTGTGTTTAGCTAGTTATGTTTAGCTAACTGACTGTGAGTGCCATTAATCATTTTTACTTAAACTGGTGATCTTGGTGGTGTATGTTGGGTTTCTTTCGTTTTCAGGACAAAATGGTCCTGACTTGGTAGGAATGTCAGAAGAAAACAGGGCTATCCTACAGGCTAAGGACTAATATAATTGGTCCTGACTTTGTTACAAGTTTTATTTTTTTGAACTTCAAGGGTTCTTATTGGTTACTGAGGTAAAGGTTAGGGTTAGATTAAGGATTATGCTAAGAAAAATACATACATGTAGATCATTGCTGTTGGGATAAAACCTTGTATCTCCATTCCAGTTGTTTTTTGTGTTTTTATATCATTTGAAAATACATGCTGATCTTTATATACTTTATATATCCATAATGAATAGATTAATGGAAATGGTTCAAAAGTACTTACAAAAAGTATTTTTACATCAACTTCCATTCTAAGTTTTAAATATTTTTACTTCCTCCTGAAAAGTTTGGCAGGTTTTGTTCAGACAGCAGCAACATAAAATACGTACAATACATATGGGACAAATTCGTTACCCCATGCAGTTCTATAAAAAGCAGTATGTGTTAATATTGTGTCTTAGAATAGTGTCTTTGGGTCAGGTTGGATCACTCAGTTGGCCTGGCCAACCTTTCCTCAGAAACCAGGCAGCTGATTTTTTTGCTTTCTCCACAGTGTCGACTCAAATTTAAATGCTGCGTGCAGCAGTACCACGTGACTGTGGGCTAGCTGTGTGTGCATGTCTTGCTCTCTTAATTAATTAACAACAGCCGGCTGTTTGCTTAATTGAGACATCTAGTAAGTTCCGTTCGGGGATGAGCTCAGTAGCTAAACTCACAGCTCATACTTGGGGCTTTGAAATTAGAGGTTTAACATAGCTGAAGACCACTCATTTGAGTCAGTGTCAGTGCTATGGCTACATATTAATCTTTTTTCATTTTGTCTTTCAGCTCTTCCTCCCAAACCGGCCAAACCCATGACTCCTGTGAACAGCAATGGTGTGAAGGAGGCTGCAAGCAGCTCATTACAGGAAGCAGAGTGGTACTGGGGAGACATATCAAGGTAAGGTCCCTTTCTCTCTTTCCTTTTTCCAACAGACAGTGTTTTCTGCATAAATTACATTCATTTATTTTGCTTTTTATTCATATGTAAAGTAAACTTAATTAAAAAGGCTACAAAGGAATGAAAAAGCAGTTTTATTAATGAAAAGTCAGTCTTTTGAATAGGACCTTAATCTTAATTACCCAGGACCAAACTAGTAACTGAGTTAAAAGGTTTTCCCTAAAACCTAAAAACCTATAAAACCAAGCGTGTTGGCAATGACTGGTGCAGAAGAGCAAAGGAAACAGCAGGTTTTTAAACCACTATTTATAATTGTCATTACCGCTGTAGTAATGCAGCGATCATGAATTCTTATGCCTGATGCCAGTTTTTTTACAGCCAAGTCCCTTGTTTACTTTTACTTGATTAGCCTTTTTTATAAGCCAGAAGCTCACGTTGTGTTAAGTACACAAAGCAGACTAGACTAGCATATTTACAATACTTTCTGTTAGGTTATTTGCTCTTCAATGAGACAAACTTGCATTTAAATGCATAACTGAAAAGTTGCTTGTTTAAATAACACAAAATAAAGTGCTGCAACAAAATAAAGAAGCAGCTGGCTATTTAGTACAATGAGTCATGAATAATTATTCAACAACTATAGCTGTAGCATTCTAATACAGCTTGAAAGCATTTAATTGCATCATAAAATTGCAACAAAGATCGGCCAAAAGAAAAACAATAAATAAACTGATTACATGTTTAGATTAAAAATCTTGGCCAGTTTGAATCTTGGCTGATTGTGATTGTGCTTCCCTAGTTGAAATGTTTTCTAGTATTGTATTGGTTCTAGGTCTGTTTAAGCTTATAACGCAGGACTGGTCAAAATATTCAGCTGAACATCCCTAGTTATTCACCAGTGTCTGAGATGCAGACTGCATCAGGTGACGGGTTTATGGAGTCATGAGATCCGAACGAGATAGAGATAAAAGGCTCCCCAGGTTTCCATGGCGCAGTCTGTCTCTCTGTGTGAAGAAGAAACAATTCCATTCTCTCTCCCTCCTCCCTCGTTCCTCCACCACCCCTCCTGATCTCCCCTGCTGGGCTAGTCTCCCAGCACACTGCTGTGTCATGCTCTTCATCGTGCCCTCTGCCTTCACTTACTCTGCTGCTCGGCCACAGGCCTACACTCTGTGAATAAGAGAATAGGAGTCTTAAAGTGAGAGTCTGGCAAAAAAATGAATCTCCACAATTTTCCCCAAGTGATCAGCCAAGACAAGTTTGGTGTCCAAAGTTTGCTCCTTTAGTTTTGCACTGGAACTACAAGGCTACCAAGTAATGGAAGCTTATGACCGCTAATTAGTGAACTGCATGCCTAAATCATCACACACTTACCTCAAACCACGGCGAGTTGTTAAGTAATCTCGAACAGACTTGCTTATGTGGTTTCTGACACTGTATGACATACTGTTATCTATAAAAGTGGAAAAATGTACGTCGCATAGATAAAAATAGTAGTAGCAGTCATGTTGAAGCCTGAACTATTGCTTTAACAGAGGGCCGTGGCTGCTGGATGGAATGCTGTTTTCATGAGCCAGTAAAACTTATTTTATTCCTCTCTTCCGTTCTCCCCCCTCCCCACCCTTCTTAGAGACATGGCTGCTTGGCAGCTGCTGTAGATTAAAGCTGAAGCGTAAGAGGGAGTGGGGAGGAGACAAACTGAGAGAAAAGAAAAGAAAAAAAGAGGTGCGTTTTAGCCACATAGGATAGGGATAGAGTAGCCTAAATCGGCAAAATGTCAAACAGTCCTGCCCATTTCCAAGCAAGCCCCATAAAACTCTCAGGTTTTAGCAGATTAGAGCGCTGCTTAGTGACCGACTTTATCCCCGTTTGATGTCGACCGTGTAGAAATGCGGCTAAGGTGCTCTAAGAATCAGGCAGACATCTGAGACCACTGCAGATCCCCCTCAACACCCGCAGCAGTGAAGGACTGAGCTCCCTGTGCAAACCTTTAGCCTCTTTTAGTTTGACCTGAAATCTAAGCTATTCTCAGAGTCTGGCTAGTTTGAGAGGTAAAGTCAGAAGTAATCAGTCTGCTCAGGCATGAACCACTGAAAGTCATAGTTGACTATAAACACACACATGCTGTAATTTTCTTTCATTTCTCACTTGGTGGTGAAATTGTGGTGAAAGTATGGATTCTGAAGTTCAAACAGGGTATTTTTCCTTTTTTGAATTTGCTTAAAGTTATCATTTTTTGCCATATTGCTAGCATCCTTCGACATCAAAACAAACTGGAAGTGCAGATTTTAACCCAGCTGTGTCTGGGATTTCCTGGCAGTTTTCAAAACTTTAAGTCATACTAAACTCTGAACATAACAGAGATTTTGGAACATGGCGTTGGGGCTAGCAGACGCCATCATGCTAATAGGCCTAACTCTCACAGAGAAAAAGGGAAACCCTAACGCAGAATCTATGGTGCATGATCGTCATTTTACCAAAGAGTGGTTCTCACCCAACTTCATCTTACATAGTCTGTTCTGTCTGTGTTTTGGCCCAGGGTTGTACTTCATGCTCTGATTGCTCAAATTATTTGACGCTTGCCCTGTTCACAATACATTACCCTCTAAAATAGGCCAACCCCAACTTTTCTCTGCCTTGTGCACCACAGCCTAAAAAGAGCAGGCATATTAGTGCAGAGCCTCTGTTCCAGACTGGCTAAATGGGCTCCAGGAGACTGTGGGCTTAAAGTTTCCTCCACACTGCTGCTGATGAGGTGGAAGCAATGTTGTGTCATACCGTCTTTACCTCAGCTGCCCAGAGCAGGCTAAATATACCCCCTCCCGAGAGCGCTGGGTGTAAGGTCAGCTGAGCTCTGGCATGACCGGACTGGCCAGGGCAAGGCTGCCCATCAGGGTCCAGACAGTGAGGGGGTGAGACTGGGAGAAGAAGGTGGGGGGCTAGAGCCCTCTCAGACAAACTGGGGAAGAAGAGGGCAAGTCCTTGAATCTGTCCACCCTCGCCCATCTAGAACTGATAGGCATGTAAATCTCGACCTCAGTTTAATTAGATTATGATTCTTTAGGAAACGATTCATTGCATCATGAAGTCTCACATTTCATCACAATTTGTGATGTGAAAAGTATTTTAGCACATTTCAGATTTTTTTTCTAAAATGCAATGAATGTACAAATGTGACTGGAGGAACTATTTACACAGTGGTATAATATAGATAATTAAACAACAAGGCAAGCTGATTTTTGAGGTTGGCAGTATGAACCGTAGTCTGAAAATCTTACTTTAGCTAAAAAATAAGCACATATTTTGAAATATTTGAATATCATTGTGGTTAATTATAATTAATTCTTGTTCAAAAATTGATGCAAATGAACGGGCCAGTTTCAATTCAACGTAATGATGCATCAGTGCATTTTCATTCTCCTACTTTTTAAACACACCAGACTGTCTGCATGAGCTAGAGAAACGTCAGTTAGCGAGTGGGAGTCGCAGACAGGGTTAAGAAAGGTAAACTGTTCTGAGATGTCTCACTTGCTCCCAGACGGCAGCAGCAGACCGCACGGTCACAGGCTGGTGCCTCTGCCCTCTGCCAGACCAAACACACACGTCTGACTGGGCCAACGGCAGCCAGCGATCTTGCTTTCATGTCAGTGATGGGGCACAGGGCAGAAGAGGACTGGCTTTTACCTGTAATTGCTAATTTGTCAGTGCAAGCTCTTGACATATCGTATGTGCCCTAACCCAGCTGCATTGCCCCCCTCTCTCTCTTTCTCTCTCTTTCTTTCTCCCTTTCCCTCCATGCTTCCCCATTTTTTGCCATGCAGGGAAGAGGTGAATGACAAATTGCGAGACATGCCAGACGGAACTTTCCTGGTACGGGATGCCTCTACAAAGATGCAGGGAGATTACACACTAACTCTAAGGTAACATCTACTAAAATATCCCTTATCCAAATATCTTGAACTATTTGGCTCTATTTGGATTCATCATCTAATACAGGCTCATTTGTTTCTTTTAGGAAAGGTGGCAACAATAAGCTAATAAAGATCTACCACCGCGATGGCAAGTATGGTTTCTCGGAACCTCTCACCTTCAGCTCAGTGGTGGAGCTCATCAGTCACTACAGACACGAGTCTCTGGCTCAGTACAACACAAAACTGGACGTCAAGCTCATGTACCCCATCTCCCGCTACCAGCAGGTACATACCGTAGCCTATCCATTTCTTTACTAATTCCATGCCTTTACCTGCAGTCTGTCCCTTTGTCTTTCTCTCCCTCTTTTTTGCCCCTCCTCACCCATGGCCTTGCTCAAAGAGTCTGTTTGCTCAATGAACACCATGGCTTGTTGCGAACGAAAGTGCCGAGGCAGCAGGATGTTCGTGGCATGAAATATTACTGTGCTTATTTGCCACTGCAGTGCACTCCGTAAATAATTGCACACATCCACAATGTCGAAAGGCCATCCAGGCATTTATTCGGGTTTTTTTTTTCCTTCTTTTCCTTGCTCCGTGCCCTCCCTGTTTCTTTCTGAGGCACTCAGGTGCTCATTATTTAGGGGGTTACACAAAAATACATCCTCGAGAGGCACTGGATTCAGAGATTTTTATTAATGATTCCTAGAAGGACAAAACTCAAGGCACAGTCTGTAAGCAGAATCTACAGCAAGCAGTGTATTTTCCTTGAACCCCAGCATTTCCTCAGCACTTCATATCACTAAATCTTCCTCTTCCCCCTTTCTTAGGATCAGCTGGTTAAAGAAGACAACATCGACGCTGTTGGGAAGAAACTCCAGGAATATCACAATCAATATCAGGAGAAGAGCAAAGAGTATGATAGACTGTATGAGGAGTACACAAAGACCTCACAGGTAAAAAAACAAATCAGGAGAAGATCAGAATGTAACCCCTTAAATATCCAGGCTTATTATATCCTAAGACCACATATTTAGCAACTACCTGAAAAACAATGTCAACTGGATATATAAGGATGCTGGCCATTGAAGGGGTTAAATCACAAAACACTTTATTTGCCAGTAAATGATGTGATCATAAACTGTACAGCTGTGTTTGGAATTTATCTTGGGATAAGATCATTAAACACATAATATTTAACAAGTGACAAAAAGTACATCTTAGATAATCGGCCTCATTAGTTTGAATGCAGAAAACTCTACAAGCAGTAAACTCAGCCAGACTTGGGCAGCATAACCTGCATTCAACACTGAAAAGGCCTTTTGACCAGCCAGCTGATCTGTCAGTGGGGAAGTATTGAGTGCATTGATTTTTCTTTGCCTTCGATTGCAGGAGATTCAGATGAAGCGCACCGCAATAGAAGCCTTCAATGAGACCATCAAGATATTCGAAGAGCAGTGTCACACGCAGGAGCGCTACAGCAAGGAGTATATCGAGCGCTTCCGCAGAGAGGGCAACGACAAGGAGATCGAAAGGTACGCTCCAACTAGAATAATCAGTCTTAATGGTCCAGGCTGCAGCCAAGGTCACCCTTCATTTTGTGAAACGTCTGAAGTGCCAGTTAGGCCGTGCGGTGTACTTAAGCACTTCATTTTCTCATCAGGATCATGATGAACTACGCCAAACTCAAGTCACGTCTCGGCGAGATCCACGACAGCAAGATCCGCCTGGAGCAGGACCTGAAGACACAAGCTCTGGACAACAGAGAGACAGACAAAAAGATGAACAGCTTAAAGCCAGATCTCATCCAGCTGAGGAAAATCAGAGACCAGTATCTTGTGTAAGCAAACACTGCTTTTATTTCACGTAGCTCAGGACGAGTTGTACTTGTAAGTTATTCCTTCTTCATTTATTTCTGTCTTCCTTCCTTGCAGCTGGCTCAACCACAAAGGTGTACGACAGAAACGAATAAACGACTGGCTGGGCATCAAAAACGAGAACACAGATGAGTAAGTTCATCAAGAGAGAATGTTCTTGCAGTTTCCTCCCTCATTTTTTTATATTTCTTTTATATTGCTTTTGGGTCACTTCACTTGGGTCTCTACTGGAGTTCATGAGACATTCGCATAGTCGGCATGTTCTGCAACTTTTAACCGAATAAACAGTTTGACCTTCTTGCAGACTATCAGTTTTGTACTAGCATTTCTGGAATATAACCCTGCTGTGTTCTCTCCACCTTTTTTTGGGTCCAGCGCTTACTTTGTGAGTGAAGAAGACGAGAACCTGCCACACTATGATGAAAAGAGCTGGTTTGTTGGGGACCTGAATCGCACACAGGCTGAAGACCTGCTTTTAGGAAAGCCTGATGGAGCCTTCCTCATCCGTGAGAGCAGCAAGAAGGGCTGCTACGCCTGCTCTGTAGTGTAAGTAGCCACTGGGCTTACAAAACATATGCATCTCTGCCGGGGGATGTGCCTGTAATACCTCTGTATTGTGCTTTGTAAAACCTCTGTCATAGATGGGACAAAGCCAGTCAGTATGATTGCTGTATCATTTAATTTATCTGGTTTCTGAAGGTTTAAATGCTCAGTTTGGTGGAAGATCAAATTGAAACAATTTTGTCCTCGCCTCAAAATGTAGTCGATCAGCCAAGACAGGATGGGTCTATTTCTTTAGCTTTGTGCTGGACCTTAAAGGCTAATGCAGCTAACTTGTACTGGAAGCTTATGCTTTACTAATTAACATCATTCATCTACATGAGGCTGCTTTTAGTTGGTAAGCAATCTCAGATAGACTTGCATATTGGTTTCCAACTGCTAACTATATGGCATATTGTTAGCAGTGATCTTGAATTTAATCTATATTTTTGTCTGAACACGTCTTGGCTGATCTGTGTTTGAAGTAAGATTATGTAAAACTTTATCTTTAACTCAGTCACCTATAGACGACAACAGAATAGACTGCATTGTTTTTTTGACCAGCTGAGGCACTACCTTTGTGTTTACATTTGCATGTAGTCATTGAGCAGACATGAATAGAAGCCGAAGTGATAGAAAGTCCAGGAGATACTGGAAGAATCTATAACCTAAAACACAAGCACCATGCCACAGCTTCAGCTAGTTAAATAAAGTGTAAGTGTAGACATTGAGAACAGTGAATTTATTGCATAGTGAATTGTGTTACTATATGTTCTTTAAGTGACCTCCAGTTTTGAAGGAGTTGAATAGTAAAATCAATTCTTCTCTCTCTCTCTCTTCTCTCTACAGTGTTGACGGTGAGGTGAAGCACTGTGTGATCTACAGCACGCCCCGTGGTTACGGCTTTGCCGAGCCTTACAACCTGTACAGCACTCTCAAAGACCTTGTTCTGCACTATCACCAGACCTCGCTGGTCCAGCACAACGACTCGCTTAACGTGCGGCTGGCCTACCCCGTGTACGCACAGATGCCCTCAGGCCCCCGCAGATGAGGCTCCGCCTGCCCAAACACAACCTACCTACACACCAACGAAAAAAAACACGCCGTCACAGAAAACGAAACAAAAACAACAAAAAAAACACAACAAACACTTGCTGCAACACACACGTCAGCCACCTTGGAGTTCTATATTTTTACTAGAACAATTTGGAGGGCATTCTTTCTAAAGACTGCTTGATTTGCACAAGGAAGTTTTAAATGTTTGTGAATGTGAAAAAAAAAGAAGGAAGCAGAAGAGGCGAGTTTCAGGTGACCCGCGCTGCTACCTAAACTCCAGCTGGGACTTTTTACACGCTCCGTATGAATCTTTTTTTTTTCCACTCACCTTTTTTTGTTTTTTGTTTTTTTTTTCATTGTCATTCAGTTGTGCTTTGTTTTGTCTCATCCTTCTTTACTAAATGCAAGGCAGGAAAATGTTTCTCTCTTTCGCTCTTTCTCTCTCTCTCTCTCTCTCTGTGTGTGTGTGTGTTGAAAAAGCAAAAACTATGTAGCAAACGGACGCCTGACACTTTCCAGAGTGTTTCTCACAGTGACTGCTGCTGAACAAGGGATTGTGGGATGGGACGGGACAGGACTGGGGGTGGGAGGGACAAGTTGAGAGGGCACAAGTGAAAATGTGTTGTAGTCTTAAAAAAAAAAAGCTTGCTTTCATACCAACCTTAGAGGAGAGCTGTTCACTTTTGTTTGTTTTCTTGCTGGATCTGCTCTTTATTCTTTATTCTTTATTTTTTTAATCCTTTCTGAGTAGTAAAGGTGTCGTTCAAGTCCATTGCAGAGACCAAAGTTGGCATGGGGAGGAAAGTCCCATTTAGTTTTTATTTTATTTCTTTGTTCTGTTGACTTGTTTTAATGAGAGTGAGAGGAAAGCAAATGCTTATGCTAATAAATTGTTTGCTAACCACACATGAAATAGAGTTTGGGCCTGTGTCCTGTGCTGAAGTCTTTTTTTTACCAAAATCGCATGCACAGATACAGTCGATATGAAGCACTTATTTAATATGGAAAATAAATACTAACTACAGCTGCACGTTTTATACGCCAAATTAAAACCACGAAACGTGAACAAAAACTCGAAAGTGAAACCCCGAGACACTATTTGATGTGTGGTTTTAAAATAATATGGATTCTATATGCTAATGTCTTTTTTTTTTAAGAAACTTGGACTTTGTGTATTTGTTAACCAGACATTCAGAAATAAGCTTTGAATTGCTCAGTGTACAACAAGCAGAAGCAGCGGTTCAGTGATGAGAAAGACGTTTTTAGGCTATGAAAACTTGAAGAAAGTGCAATCCAACATTGTATTGATAGTATGTTAGCGGTCTAAGAGAGATGCACGAAATAAGCTCAGATGCACCAGTGAGCGATAATCACGTGCACCAAGACCCGTTTGAATTTTGTTTCTTTTTCCTTTGAGAAGATGCTCATCTTTCTGCCAGGTGCTATTAGAGAGGAAATAGACAACATTCAACCATTTGGCAACCTGTTTGGTTTTCCTGTCGCACAATAAAACCTTTTCAAAAATCAAACTTGACAGTTTCGCAGCGATATGCACAATGACTACATCAGCTCCATCACTCCCTGTTATGACTGGACTTGAGGTGCTCAAGCATGCAGCGTTTGAGTGTCTCTTTCTCTCTGCTCTGTTGCTTGAGAGTTTCTGGAAGAGTAGTTTTTTTTTCCTCCTGCATAATCCAGGCTCTTGTTTTAAGGCCCCCGCTGACAGACGCTTTAACCACAGGCTGATTTACTGCCTTTTAACAAGCACAGGGCAGCTGGTGGGCCTCGACTTGTCCTATTGATGGAACATTTCTCCAGTTTTTTCACATGCTGTGTGGGCAGGTGAAGAAGTAACTGGGGTAATTTGTCTAATACCCCTTTATTAATTCTATGCATTGTGGCCACATCCACTTATTTGATTCAGAAACAAATGCACAGACAGTATTCCTCTTTTCTCGGGTATTTCAAGAATTATTGGTCACTCTAAAAGTCAGAAAAAGCTTCAGAAACTGAGTTAGGGCACAAAGCCGGAGTGCTATGCAAGCTTTGTCCAGCTTGATTTTGGTTAAGTGCTTGTGCAGCCAATGTGGTTGGATCAGGTTGGGCGTTTTCATAAAACTGGATTAATATCTTCATCACATGGGTCATGAAGTCAGCAGATCCCTGCACTCCTCAGTGCTTGGACTTTACCTGTCTTTACCTCTCCGCATCCTCGCTGTATGGCTGAGTTCAGCGTCCAGAGCGCCTGAGAGAAGCCACGTGCCCTCATGACTTGGACTAGAAATTGAAGCATAGTTTTCGTTCTCTCTCTCTCTCTCTGCCCTCTTCATTTCAGCCTTGCTGCTGGCTTGCACCATGGCAACTGCCGCAAGAGCATCTGAGCTCCTCCTGAATCCGTTTTTGTGACTCTTGGTGGGGAATAATTGGCTGGGGAAAGAGCAGCAATGGTCCTTCCCGATGCACAGTAGGAGTCTGGAGCCTGGGCAGATGAATGTCTCCTTTCCCTGCCTGCTCTCTTCACTTTGCACGACAGGCCTTTGTCCACCACCATACTTCACTTTCAACTTATGAACCCCCTTCTCGGCTAATATTTGGTTTCCTCTTCTGGACAAATAGCGGCAGCCCTGTCAATAAGAATAGAGTCTGCATTTCTTGATTTTCTGTAAGACCTTGTTAGACTGCTTATTATGTCTATCTCTCTCTCTTTTTAACCTTCCTTCTTCTAAGATCCAGATTGTTCATTTAACCTGGATCCCCGAGGGGTCCTCTCTCTATTACTTGAACTATAGCATTGCTCACTGTTGAATGTCTTTATATTGCATATATACATATATTAAAGAAGAGGAAATCCCTTTTATGACAGGAGTTGATTGAGGTTGAGATATATGTACACGTTTGTACGCATTTATTCAGAGACACAGAACTTTTTTTTCTCTTTAAGGGGTTTGCTTTAACTAAAACTATGACTGTTTATTGGATCCTGCTGTCCAATATTGCACACATCATTTTTGAAGAGACTTTTTAGAGTAACGTACAAGGCCGGCAACTGACGTGTTTCATGTCGTACAACTCATCCCATGTTCGTACGTGACATTTACTGAAGAATTGTTTGGACTGGGTTGTAAATTTTCCTTTTATTTGTGATTATCACTACTTTCCCAGGCATTGAGACCAAAGATTTGAGTTTGATTTACTTTCTCCTAGCTAGTGATAGTTTTGAGGGGAGTATTTTCCTTGATTTATTTTTTTGTTTGTTTTTTCCATCCATTGCCTTGCTTCCATGCGAACTCAAGTCGCTTTCTTGATTGGGTTTTCATTGCTAGATCTTTATTTGTCTGATGACATACTGGCAACCTTGACTATTATTGTCAATATTATTAATGGGGTTTGTGTTCTCCAGCATTTAGCATGTGCTTATACAACAGCATGGATGTGATGGGATGAATTCTTGAATTCTTGCCATTCAAAAATTGTTCAAGATTCATTTGCCTGCACAAATGATATGAGCTTTTGACCAGCCCCTTAGTGATATTCAAGCCAGTCAACTAAAACTGAGGTCAATCTGAGTTGATAACTTTTCACTTTTTAGGAAGCGCTTGATAGTTTTCCGTGTGCCATTGATGTGCTTTCTCATTTCAACTGTAATTTGACTGTTCAGTCACCGACACAGCGATGTCCGATGTTCGTCTCTCTTTTTGCTTTCCAGAACATGAGCGTATGTTCGGAATCGTCTGACCTAGCTGGAGGCGTCTGTTTTCTCTCCTTCGGAAATTTGCGTAGTGAGAGAAAAGAAAACTAGTACTCCTAGTAATTTGTGGTTTGTCTCAAAAGGAAACGTGCTCATCATTCTCTGCAGGGCAGAAAGCAGTGGGGTTCGTTGGCATTCTTTGTTCGTGCACTCCACAAAGCATGCAATATTCCATTCTCGTTTTCTTTCCTAAAGGTTTCAGGGACAAAAAAAAACATAAGCATTGCATTGGGGGGTTCGTATGAAAGACATGTTTACCAGAGGAGAAAATGCTTTTTTTTTGCATTGATGTGAGAATGGGATGGGGGAACAGATTTTAAGAAACATAAAAAAACAAAACAGATCAAAGGTGCATTACTTCAGAAGCTCAAACGGTTTGGGCATGAACCAAAACAACCTTCTCCACTCATGTAGAAGCGTCTGAGTTTTCGGTCCGAGTCGAGTCGGGGCGGTTTGAAGACCACGCTTGGGGTTCTTTTATTTTTTCCGGGACTGTTAACCAACGATGTCTGTTCCTCTTGCCCCTTTTGTGCAGTTCTGCAAAGTTTTATTTGCAGTCAGGTTTGAATATGCGGCGATTCTCATTGGGAGTCTTTTATGTTCTTACCACTGCTGTCACATCACGATACTCAGCACAGCTTAATGGAGTAAAGCTTCTTATTATTAAAAAAAAAAGAAAAGAAAAAAGAGGAAAAAAGAAAAAGAAAAAAAATATAAAGAAAAAAAAACTCTCACTCTCCCTCCCACTTTGACATACGTACAAACCCAGCATGCTTCTTTGGTACTCTTGACTGTTGTTTTGTGTAAAAAAGAAAAAGATGACGTTGAAACAAAAACTGTTATTTGTCTGTTTATGGTGTAGTCAGATATAAATTTTGATATAGCTTATTAAGAAAACACTGCTTTTTTCAGCTGAAATAAGTTTGAACCCTGTGTTTCAGTGGACAATGCAAAAATGATATTGTTCTTAAATACTGAGAATGAGGGCCAGCGTCAGCAATAGCGAACCAACCTCGGCTTCAGTGCAAGATTTTATTGGTCATAATAAAGATGTATTTATTCGGTACTGTTAATCTGTCTACTCTTGAAACCCAACCTTTTTGAAAATGCACACTATTTCATGAATTTCAGCCCTCCACCAGCAGAGTGTTCCTTCTTGTACTTTTATAGACTCAGCTTGAGCAATAAGCCACGGGGCCCCAACTCTCCATGTCCCAACAGTTCTACAATGGAAATCTTAAACGTACCAACCTCTGTCCGGTACCCACACTTGGTGCATATCAATGATATGAAAGCATCTCCTTTTATTCCTAAAACCCTGGAGAACGATCAGTGTAGAAACTCCTCTTTCTCAGTATTTGAATATCATCC